ATAAAAGGCATTATGCTTCAATTGTAGCTTACTTTGGCTTCCATTTTTATATATTTCTATTTCTAAGCATTATAATATTAAACAAACTAATGTATACCTATAAAAAGATGATATAAATTCTATATTACAAGAATTAGAAATTAATTTCAATATTCAATTGAAGAACAATCTGATAGAAAAGGACTAGAGTTCTTTATATAATTAACCTCATTTTGTTATCTTAAAAATTTTGCCTATTTCTAAAAATTTTCTCATTTCTTTTATTTTTTGATAAGTGTATCAAAAAAAATATTTTCTAAAGGCAGTAAGCGAAAATTAGTTGATTCATATATGGTCTGAGATTCCATTTTTTTATTTTCTGATTTATCACCCTGGTTAGTGTCTTGATATTAAAGTTAAAATAAATTATTCTCAGATATATTTATTTTCGAGAGGTGAAGAATTGATATTAACTAATTTAATTGCTTTTATTACTAGTGATCTTTAACATATTTTGGAAAAAAAAGGTATCAAAAGCATTTATTTCATTTTAGTTAATTAATTGAAATTATGTTTTCTTGCAAACAAAACCATAAATTCAAAAATTGATAAAATATCTAAGTCTTAACTCTTGGAGATATTTATATTTTAAAAAATTTCCCAATTTTTAAGTCCTATATTTTATATTATTTCTCTTTCAAAGTAAGTTTCCTTTTGGAGATTTATAATTCTATATTGGGTAACTTTTTTATTTAATCAAAAATAGAACTTAAATATTTGAACATTAATTTTTATAGACATGAACAATCTAGATTAGATGTACTTAAGCTAATCATTGAGATTAATAAATAATAAGGTTTTGTATAGATACTCTCTGTCCAAATTAAAGACCTTATTGTCATTTTTGTTTGCCTTCCCATGTTCAACATCTTAACAAATTAACATCTTAGGAACTATTATCTGACTGGATTAATGCCAGAGTACATAATGTTCAAAATATTTAAAATCATTTTTAAGAGTGTAAAATTTCCCTTGATAGGCTAATAAACGTGTTCCTTCCATATAATAACTTTAATACGCAATAATTCTCAGAATAAGGACTTTTACAGATTGACTAATTAATAAAAGGTTTTTGTTAAATGGAAGATGGTGAAGAAAAGTTATTTAAACAATTTAAATAGTGGATTGTAAGTGAAATATTAAAAATAAAAAAGAATCAAACAAATTAAAAGTCAAATGATGATTTGTAAATTCCACTCTGTGATATAAACAAATAAATTTTAGAATAACAGCAGCCTCTATGAAAATTTAAATCATATCTAAATCTATTCTTATTTGACCTTATGAAATAAAATTCAATTAAGTAATATGATTAATTTTTGTCTATTGCTTTTAATAAAGATTACTCAATCGTGATAGCAGGATAAGATAAAGATATTAGAGGATTCAAGCATATTTAAGGGAAACTTAATTAAATATAATTGTTAAGTGAACATACAGGAAATGTATTTACTTTAAATTTAATGAAAAACCCAAATAATTATGTATCTGGAAGCGACGATAATTCAAGTATAATCTGGTATAGATAGGTAATAATTGTTGGAAAGTTTAATAAACAGTGAATGGGAATTCAACTTATATTATTGTTTAGCGTTGAAAAACACTGATGACCTGATTATCTCAAGTGGTTTAGATAAAAAAAAAAAATTTTGAATGAAATAGGACTAATGGTTATGTTAATAAACCATAACTGATTACATAATATATTCATTAAGTTTAAATGAACAATAAAATAAATTGATATCTTGTTCAGATGATAAATAAATCTTAGTAATAGAATAATAAAAGTTGGATAAAAAATGGACTGCTAAATAAATTATATAAGTAGATTATTATGGGTTTAGATTATGTTTTATAAATAATGTTAATTTACATTCTAACCTATAAGCAAAGAATAAATATATATACATGAATTGGATGAGAGTAATAATATTGCTGTACAGTGCGGTTTAAGTAGTGATGGTTGTTTATTCCCATAATAATATTTAAAGTCAAAATGCCTCCTGGTAAATAAGAATGGTAAGAATTAACTTAATGAGATAGGAAGAAAATAGTGACTTTTTAATTTAATAATCTATTGAATTTGATACTGATGAAATTACATAATTCTTTTATATATTTTCACCTTTTCCAAAAGTGGTTAAGTTAAATTATGTTTACAAAAATTCCAATTTATAATTGTAATTTCTTAATATCTAATATCATTTTAATGTAAATCTTCATTTGAAATATCAGATTATTAATTATTATTTCAATCTTACTCTAATTAAAATATTTCATTACCTAATTTAATATATCTTGATCTTATAAAGTCTACTTACTCCAGAAATATCTTCACACTTAGTTAATGACTTTTCTTATATCCATCTGTCTCTTTCATTGACGACAAATATAACCTATCTAAATTATCAATAAATAAACTTGGATCTAAAAAACTAAAAGATGTGCTTGGAATATGTTGAGCGAAGTTCATTTAATTTTAATATTATAACAAAATAATCATATAAAAATGGATATCAAGTATTTTTATTAAGTATGATAAATAGCATTATATAAATTTATAGATCAAATGACTTAAATAATAATTTCAACCCATAAAAATACCTATAAGCATTATTAATTTTTTTATCTTATAATTCTGTCCTATTATTCAAATTTCCTTTCAATAAAATAAAATACTTCCTTACTGTTTAATAATAATCCTAATGCAAATAGCTCTGAAAAATTATACTAAACTCATTTCTTAATTATGTAATCTTGCAAAAAGTCTAAAATGATTAAATACTATTATATAAATTCATTCATAAATACTTAAACAGACTTGTGTCATGTGTTAAATTTAACTTCAAATAAGAAATGGTAAATAAAATATTTATTTCAAGTAATATATATATAGGTTCTCATTAAAATTTTGACAATAAACCTCTTTCCTTCAAACTTATCATCAATAAAAATCAAGCATAAAATACCTTATAAGAATTAATTCAGAAAATCTAAAATAATTTCATTTTTGAGCCAATAGTATAAATTGCAGCAAAGTTGGTACGTAAAGTTTTGTTAAAATAGTAAATATTTTATGAATTATTTTTTTGAAATATATTAATTATAGTCAATAAAAAAAACTAAGTGTATTCTATTATATACAAGCTATTTTAGATTAAAATTTAGTTGATAGACTGAAACCAGGAGATAGTTGAAGTATTTAATTTAAAATAATAATAGATTACTGATGTAGATAAGTCTATTCAAAATTCAACCACAAAGGCAAATGGAATATTTAGAACTACTTTAATTGCTTATTATGATACTAATTTATGAAATTATTCTTTAAATTCATTCACTTATGATGTGAGTCTTCCACCTAAACCATCATAAGTATCTCTATATGATCCACATTTAAGAGTATATGATTAGAAGCTATTCCAAAAGTTAAATCCTTATCTAAATTAGTTGGAATTCTTTAAAATGATTTAATTTCTTTGATTAATTAAGCATGTTCCAATTCAATATAATCAGAACAAATCATTAAAAGATTTGTATTAGTTATGACATCCTATAATAATATTTGCATTTTTTATAAACTTTTATTAAAATTTATTTAGATTTTCTAATTATTTAATAGAGAGCATAATATATTATTTATGTATTAGCAATGTTAAAGGGCAAATGAATTATACATATTTGAGCAGGAACATATTTATTATTTATTAAATTATTATATGAGTATTGTATTATAATAATATTAATTATTAAGTGCTTATTTAAAATCACTTACAGAAAGTCTAACATTTTGAAGTGATTTAATATCATTAAATCAGTGCTTCCCT